TGGGCTTCATGACTGGCACAATGGAAGTTTGACATGAAATGAAAAACAATGCCATTATCTATACGCCAATATTATCCATACTACAGTAGGCATTGAGGATCAAAAATTGCACAACAGAATGTTTTCAAAATGTTCCCTGATGAATATCGACTTTGGCTGCAACATGAACAGCTGCAACAGAATTCTATGTAAACTACAATCCATATATATTAAATTAAGACCAATTATTCACTTTGCTGGAATATCACAGTCCCACTAGTTCTTAATGTCATCGAGAGGATGTTCTGCTTACCATGTGTGGCATGTACTCACCTCCCTCAAGCCGTGCAGCCCTCCTCCTGCCGCGCGGTCCACATGGATTCATCACAGGCCAATCCACACGGATGACATCAATATACAGTTGCAAGAAAAAGTATGTGAACCCTTTGGAATGATAAGCAGACTGTGATTGTCTATTGTTGTGACTTAGATGATGATCAGATCACATTTTATGACCAATTTGTGCAGATATCCATATCATTCCAAAGGGTTCACATACTTTTTCTTGCAACTGTATAGAGTGTAGGCGTGCCGTCACCCCGTTCTTAAAGTGACCACGTTATCATTGCGATCCTTATCTATTTGAGTCACAATCATGACATGGACCAATCAGCTTCGTATTTGACTTGTGATTTCTGGTATCCTGACCTTGGCTTCGTATTTGACTCGTGATTTCTGGTATCCTGACCTTCGGCTTCGTATTTGACTCGTGATTTCTGGTATCCTGACCTTCGGCTTCGTATTTGACTCATGATTTCTGGTATCCTGACCCAGGGGAGGGCTGGCAGCCTTAGGCCTGGGGGGCAAATCCAGTCAAGTGGCCCAATGCACCACAAAATCAGTTCACCATCCATGCCCACCTTTTCCTGGTTTTATAATGGATATTGATGTTATGCTAATCAGTAGCTTTTTGCCAGACCTGCTCCTTCACGGCTCTGACTTTCAATGTTGTCAGAGCGCAAGCTGAGAATCTCTGAGCCTGTACTCTGACTCTCTAACTGAGCGCCAGAACCACGAGGGAGAGGATATGATTTGACTTCATCTACCGCAGGTGCGTACCAGTGGACCACCAGCGAATCGTTTAAATTGAATATGCTGTTGTACCCAACTTGTGAGCTGTGTTGGCCACTGGGCGCCTCTGTTGTCAAGGCACCCTGCGTGACCTCACAGCGTGCAGACCCCAACAGCTGGCCCTGCTGACACACACTGATGTTACTACTTAGAAATCCCTCAGTATTAATACAGACATCAGAGTAAACACCAATAAACTGTGGAAACAGAGCTGATCCCCCCAAATTTATAAAGATTTGCTTAGTGGATTTGTTGTAAGATTAAATCATGCCTCCTCCTCTCTCCCATGCGCTGCTCTGTAGGCTGGGAGGAAGTGAAGAGTAATCACATTCTCCCAGCGCAGAGCCACCTGTGGCTGCATGGGGAACAGCTGTTTAATGTAATGCTTGCAGGACGGCCAGCTGCCGCAGAACCTCTTTGTTCCCATCTCTGCAACAGATGTATTTACAAGAGAGAACTAGACGGGACTGACATAGGTTAATAACATGCTGAGTCAAACATCTTCATAGCAGGCTGATGTGTCTACCTATATATACAGGTATCATGCTAACTAATAGCTGGAGCCCTCCTTGCCATTATGGGCTGTAGTTTAGTGGACCTGAGGGTACGTGAGCTATTTCTGGCGACTGTTGAGGCTATACCCAGTAAGGCTCTGCCTGAAGCTTGGTCCCTAGTGGCATCCCAAACGCCGCCCCCCACCATGGCTCCCGGCATGAACATGGTTGAACTCCAAGTTAAATTAAAATGCTGGTTCCCAGCGTTAATAGGAGAGTGGGCCTGGGGGTCAGTGAGCGGCAGTGGGGCTGGCTTTGCACACAGTATGTATTTACGGCTATGAGTCAGATGTAGAGCAGAACGGAAAAAACAATATATGCAACATATATAAATCAGAGAACACTTAGTTTTTTTTTTCACCATGAATAAAGTCCCCTGCCATCTGCGATTAGAGATAAACGCGTTGAAGGTAGGGTCCATAAGTGTCCCAGTGTAGTCCGTAGCAGGCGTTGGGTTCGGGTTGCCGGTGTTGGGTAATCCTCTAGCCAATGCCCGATCTCAGGGCCCGCAGCCTAGACGATGGGGTTCGCTTGTTGCAATGGTGTAGCCAGCCGCTCCAAACGATGCTGGAGGTCTTTGCTCCGACGAGGTCCAAGGGCTTCCTAACATTTTAATATATTATTCCAGGAAATTTATTCATAACTATGAAACACTCTTAATGAAAACTTTATTTTATTAAAACTTTCTTTTTATTAATTTTCAAGACTGAAACCGATTTAAAAAAAACAAAACCCAGCTTTATGCCTGCTAAAGGACCTGACACGGTGTCATTCTTACTCCATGCTCAAACAAATAATGTTATATACCACCAGATGCAATGATGTACTGTGTATCACTCTGATCCAACCACCCCCTCCATTTCCCAAACATCTCAAAGTGTAAACCACTGTGTCTCATTACTAAATGTCTGTATCACGGTGTACAATATGTGTGTTATCCTTATTCTGAGAAAAATAAAGAATGGGGGAAAACAGCTTTGCAGCACAATGGGGCAGCAGCATTTGGACTGGTTTTCACTCATGTATGGAAAATGACATCCTGAAGAACATTGACTTCAAGCCAATTATAAAGAAATTCTCCACAAAGAAATTTCGCACATTTTTGTAATGTTCATATCCTGCCATCTCCATCAGTATGATTCACCAACCGAGGACCATTTTTATGTTGAATTTCTTGCGTTTCAACGTCAAGGCTCATGTTAATTGTCCAACTGTTTGTGTGGATTGATCTCTGCTGCACATGGACCACGTATATAGCAGGTCTCCGATCAGGAGAAAGAAGGTATTACACTTTACACCCAGCTGAGGAAGCTGATATAAAGTTGGCGAAACGCGTCCTGGGGACTTTTTATATACCACCTTTATGCCCTTTTTTATGTATATGTATTGTATTTTTTACAGATTCTAATTGGCCATTGGAATTTTAAATTTACATTTAAAATTTTTTACAATAAATATTTGATTTGATTATATTGGGCTATTGGTTCCTGCTATATAGGAGTGTAGTCCTTAACTACATAACGTATATTCTCTCTGCTTGAGCCCTAGCTACTGCGTGGGAAAGAAGTCTACTAAAGAAGGGGAAAGGTCGCTTTTACCCCTGAGCTAGGTTTATTAGCTCAGTAATATGTGAGTGGTTTCACTCAGATCTTTTGTTTCTTCATATTTGATTACAGTGTCACACTATGAGTTTATAATTTATTTTCTAGGACTGTGGGGATATTTATGGGATAATAATAGTAACAGTTGAGAATTGCCCACTAATTCAATTCTCAGATCCCAAAGAACGTTTATCGTGTTAAGTGGAAAGTATTTCATATAAATAATCACAATGTATAAAAATAGATTTTATTTATATGACAAATTAATAATAATAATATTATATGTAACATGCATAACAATAATCAATGAATATTCAGTACAAAATTATATGCAATACAAAGAAATGGGTATTACGTTTCAATGGCTAAACGGCATTTTCTGTCAAGACTTCTACGATTTATGACTAGCTTTCACAGACTGAAAGTGAAACTTTTCACAGGGAAGAACAGAATTCCTCAGAGTGCAGCGTAAGGTCGTAAAATTTAGCAGACAGTTAGAATAACCCTTTCAATGCTGGCTAGATCTCCTAGGTAGTTAAGATCTATTCTTATGTAATTTTTAAATAAAATAACATTTAAACCAGTTCACTAGTCATTTCTTAAAATCATCCAATAAGAGAATTTACCATATTATATAAGCAGATTTTTAATTTGTCTAAAAGATATCTATCTTAATTTAGAGCAAATCAATACACCTGGATAAAAACAGCGGTATGCTAACACGTGATAATATCACATCCATATACAATTATTCTTAATTCCACCTGCAGAATGGAATATTTATAACTATATATTCTTAGTTAACTAAGATTTTTTAATATGGAAATCTGACCGTGCTTTATCCAGTCATATATAATGCTATTAATACATTTTAATTAATTTAATTTAATTAAATGAAACCAGTATAATTACCAGTTGAGTAGATATTTCATCCGATTGGTAGTCTCAGGAACTTATTTGGATGTCTCTCTGCATGGAGGTGTTGGTTAGAAAGTCAGTAAATTCTAAATGTTAGAGTTTTAGGAGTAGAGTGTTAGTCTCAGATGTTGTCCGAGTTGGAGTTCCCAAACTTCCAATTCCTCTCTCCTCTCCTTTGCATCTCTTGCATATCTTGCCTCCCTCTCTCGTATATCTCTCTTCCCTTTGTCTTAACTTTTAAAGGGCCAGACTCTCTGTACGTCATCAGTTGATAACCCAATAGAAGCACTAGAGGTGTGGTTATCTTCCAGATCGCAAATTAGCTATTTGGTCTGTAGAGGGCAGTCTTGTCCCACTAAACATACCTATCCAGGAAAGAGTTAACTTTTCCTGGTGGCTATTTTGACGTCATTTTGGCCTATCTAGATAGTGGCTATAACTTACGTATCCTTCAAAGATCAAAGGGGTTCTTAAATTTCGTCCAGACTATGTGTCTGCAAATCTGCTATAATTTCTGATATGACAGATCATGAACTAAGTTTACCCTTTTCCATACAATGGTACCTTATATGTATAGACAGTTAAATATTAAATTATTTAATCTTCTCTGTCACAATTGTCTGGGTTAGATTTGATTATATTCTTCTTATCACTTGTTTATACTATGCTATACATTCCTTAGCTCTGGCAAAGAGGCCAGTCTTACAGAAAGAAATCTAGTGTCTTCTTTGTTAACTTGAAATAACAAAATGGAGTCTGGTCTGTTCAGAGTGACTCAGAATATACACTTTTAGTTTCTATCATAGCACAAAATGTCTGCCGGTATAAATACCCTGACATAACCCCCCTTTAGTGCATTTCATAGCCAAAATTAATTTAGCTTATGAATAAGCACTATGGAAGTTACTAGACATATTGTGCAATCACATCATTTCTAACATACGCCCGTGCGTGGAATGAACATTTTTGTATATATTTGTACCTGTAAAAGTTTTGAACTTTACACTTAGTACAATCAACCATAATATCATTATTATCATAGCACACCCAATAACAATCTTAACATGGATGAACCAGTCAACACGAGAAATAAGGTCAGTATCTAGCTCAGAGTATTTAAATGTATCCACAGAAATGTTATCTTTTCTGATTGACATTTGGATAGTGTGGTTGGGCTTGTGGTCCAGCAAGAATTTTAGATTAGGATCTAGAGGGATATCTAGATTCTGGAAGGGATCCACCATCTCAATAGCACTTTCGATGACGTCAGTGTACACTGGGTATAGCGTAACGTCACCGATGGTGATACGAGAGTCGTGGAGTACCTTGATCAGTGAGACAGGTGCTGGTAAGGCAATTACTTTATTAGTCACCTGGTCCCTGCGAAAAACACTTATGTTTTTAAGACACGTGCTTACCAACCATTTATCTTTTACTAAGATAGCATGTACTAACGCATTACTGTCGGTTTTTGACATAGTTACTTGACATGTTTCAGAGCCATGTTTAAGGTACTCGATCCCACACAAAGCATTGGTAGAATCGTACACAAAAGGTTTTCCATCACATTGGAAATTATTGTCTTTGAATTTCTCACAGTCATTCAAAATGGGTATAGAATACCAATCTGGTACCCATGGTTGAAAAGCCAAAACATCTGGGGTTTGGACTTTTACGTGGATATTTTCCTTCCATGTACCGACATTGTAGATTGTTTTCATTTGAAAAATGTTTTTGGGAGTTACATATGGTATGGCCAATAAAAAGCAAATCTCCATACGTTCCGGATCAATTAAGAGAGGTATAGCGCTCCCCATCTCGAAGGCCAGATTTAATTGCATAGGCTCAATTGTCTCTCCATCCACATTGGCAAGCATCGCATGAACAATATCCTTGGATACAAAATACAGAGGTATGCGTCCCCCTGCCAATTCGATCATTCCAGTTTGCACTTCGTCAAGAAAAGCAAGTGTGTGGAACAGTATTGGGTCATGCAGAAATAAAAGTTCACGCTTGAATAAGTCATGACTTTGGTGCAACTCAGTGGATTTGGCAATTAACTCTGAATGCAAATTTGTTGTAACAACTGTGTCTTCCACAATAGTTAACACGTCTTGGAGAAGTGTTCTTTGCTGTTGTATCACCTGATGAATATCGTTAATGTGTTGCTTTAGCGCATAGATTTCCATATCCAGCTTTTGGACAGTAATAGAGTTGGCTGCAGACATTCCAGTTGCGACAACTGCACCGACAGTGGCACAAACTAATGCAACAATTATAGCGGTGAGGAACCTTTTGGGTCGGTTGCTCATCGGAATAGAACTGGATACAAATGGTTTCCGGGCTTGCTCCAAGATGTTTTGCACACGGTCCTGTGCTCTTTGGAGGTGCATCTGGTACCAAGTCTGTAACTCAGGAAGCTGCATCGATGAAATGTTGTATGCCTTCTCGATGGAAATCTTGGGGTCCAAGCTGATGAACACACGTCTGGTCAGGATCCTCTTCTCTGTTAAGATGAACCCTGGTGTCTCTTGAATCAGGATGCCGGAGGATGGTCCCATCTCTGCGATCGGGTCGGTCCGTAGCTCTTGGCACAGGAGCAGTACGATCCAGAAACACGCCACATCCTTCTTGGACATCCTTCGACAGTCACGGATCAGGAACTCGTTTCAGACTTATCTACTAATGATTCAAGGTTTGTTAAGCATACAAACTTATAACAGTGTGACATCACTTGGCCTAGGACAACACATTATTACGATTCATCAACATATGTATTCTGTCTAATTCTATTTTTATAACTTCATCCCTCACTACATTTATTACTGACTCTTCAGCAATTTGCCTATAGCAGCTAAACAAGCTAGTAACCTGCTTATAAAATGTAGTTATTGGATGGCAAGGAAATGGTTAATGACATGAACGTACATGAGATCATGGCACATCACAACATTTCACATCATACTATACCACGTGAATCAAGCATTCATCCAGGTTAGTCGTTCATCCTTCTGCATCTGAATCCACACCTATAATCCTTAATTGAGATTTAGGATGACAAGCACGCAACTGGTTAATGTGAACCCACTTTTCAATAAAATCACCATCCTTAGGAATTTTTATCTTATACGCTACAGGGGAAATTTTGTCAATAATGACATATGGCCCTTTCCAAGAAGGTAAAAATTTCTTTTCCTTGACTTGATTTCACGCAAAGTTATACAGATAGACTTGATCTGTGATTTCATATTCCTTTTTCGTGGTTTTTAGATCGTAATAGGTCTTCACCCCTGTCGCTGCTTTTTCTAGATTCTTTTGGGCAAAAGCAAACGCATGCTGTAAATGCTTGCGCAAATCTTCGATATACTGATGTGTAGTGGCAGCATTGATCAAGTTATGATCTGAAGTACGATATAGTAAATGCTGTGGTAAAACCATCTTTCTTCCTGTCATCAATTCAAAAGGTAACAATTTGGTAGCAGTGCTAGGTGTAGCTCTAATCGCCATTAAAACTAGGGGCAATTTAATGTCCCAGTCTTTACCAGACTCCTTAACATACTTCTTTAGAATATTAACAATAGACTGGTTATATCGCTCTACCCCCCCGCTAGACGCAGCGCGGTATGCAATATGTAGCTTTCGTTTAACACCTAGAATGTTCCACATCTTAGCCATTACTTCGCTGGTAAAATGACTACCTCTGTCTGACTCCATTCTTTGAGGCAGACCGAACCTGGAAAAGACATGGTTAATCAACAAAGTGGCGCACACGGTACTCGTGTTCTCTTTACAAGGCAAACATTCTATCCACTTTGTGTACATACATGTAACGGTTAACATGTATTTGTTACCTCTTGAAGATCTTGTTACAGGACCTATAAAGTCAATTTGAATATCAGACCAGGGTAATGACACCCACCTCTTCTGAAGTGGTGCACGATGGGTTGGACCATGGGGTTGATATTGTGGACAAATCAAGCATCCCTGACAGTATGTCTTAACATCCCTTAACATGTGTGGCCAATATGCATAATCACGCAATATCTCATATGTGATCTTATCACCACGATGCCTAGATGTAGGTGCATCATGTGCGTGTTGGAGCATTAACCCTCTGTATACAGTTGGGACTACCCATTGTTGTATACCATGTTTAGAAGTTCTGACCAGTAACCCATCCATGATACTAAATTGGACTTTATATCTCATCAAGATTCGTAAATTTTCATTATCTTTGCAATCCTCATCTGT